TTACTGTGTAAAGTTGTCACAGTTTTCCACCAGGACCCCTAGGGGAGTGTCCACCTGGTGGGAGACCTGCATAAATACTGGGCAGGTAGCCCCATTAAACCAGATTCCTGCTTAACCTTCAATACAGAGCCTCGTCTCGTACTTGGGGGGGATTTATTCGTATGCTTCCCTGTTTGACTGCTAGGAGTGTAAACCCTCCGTATGGTTTTTCCTGTTTGGCTGTTTTGAGCCTTCGTATGGTTTACTGTTCGGCTGTTTGGAACATTTGGATGGTTCCTGTTCGGCAGATTGGTGTCTTCAGTAGCTGCCCAGACCGAGACGCCGCAACCGAGGCTGGGGGGGGGCCCGGGTGATGTGTTTAAGATAGCGGGCGCCATGTGCGTGACGGGCAGGGGGACGACCTGCTCCCTCCCAGCGACCACAGATGACAAAGTGGCTCCTGCCTCCCAGCCCAGCAGTAAAGCAAAGTGGAGAAATACTCACCTCTCCCGAGGCCAACCGAGCCATCGCGATAATGCCCACGAGACCCACACAAGCAAACTACAATGGCAGCGCTGGGGAACCGAAACACCGCCCAACAAACACTCCCGCCCGGGGACACTAAACATGCAGCTTAACGAAACACACATGTGTGAGAATGGTCCCTGCAAACACTTCCCACCTGGACCATCCCAAGAAGATCCAGCAAGCGGCGAACCCACGAGGGAACATCAAGTCTCCCGATATGGCTGACAGCAGGGACAGAGGCAAGTCCAGCACATCACGGCTGCAGCCCAAGAGAATCCACTCAGAAATGGAGATAGACTGTACCTGGAAACCCGCTGCGCTTGGTTTGCCGGACACATATTTTCTGCCACACAGAAATAGCAGAGCAGACATTGGACGGTGCTGGGACTTCTCCTGACTGTGCAGCCTCGGGGTCTCCAAAAAGAGGACGCTTTCCATGAGGGGAAGAGACTGCAGCCACGAGTGCCGGGTATGAAGAGTGACGGTGGTGGGCCTCTCAACAAACGCTAAACACATCTCAAGCCAGCTGCACAAAGATAATGTTGATGCCCAGAAGAAAGAAGAAGAAAAAGATGATGACGAGGAAGAATACTTTGACAAGGAACTTGTCCAGTTAATTAACCAAAGGAGAGAACAAAACCGACCCGATGATAACTGCTGTACATCCAAAGAACAAGAAAAAGACCGATACCAGAGGAGAAGAGAGGACCATCTTTTGTTTAAGGAAGGGGGGCCCCAAGATTGGCACTGTGGGGCTGGCAGTGGCAAAGTGAAGGACAATTCTAGGCAGGGTAATTACCAGCATCCTGCACTAAACGTAAACCATAGGCATCTTCCTGATTCTAGAGGCCGACCTGACTGGCATTTAAACAGTCCATCAAACCGTCATCAGACCCATGGTGGAGGCTCACGGCACTCAAATCCAGGAGGTCCTACTAGTTGGCACTAGGTAGGAACTTTCATTGGCACCATGACAGAAATAGTAGTTTTCCTGTCCTGCCCCCTAGAAACTGTGTAGGAAACTGGCAGCCTAATCCATACAAAGGTAAACCTTGGAATTTTGGTGGCAATGTCGATACATTTCCACAAGCAAGAAACCGAAATCTAAGGCATTGTGATTCAACACAAGAAAAAGATCCAGGGTGGAATAAGACAAATTGTAATAAGTTCAGTAAAGGGAGATTCACCTGGAAAAAACTGAAAACAGCAGCAATCGGAAAACATTATTAAATTCAGATACAAACTCAAGAAAGCACAAAGAACTTTCCCGTGATACACTTCCACAAGAAAATATTTTTGAGTCAGAGTTATTGGAAAAACCCAGCATTACTTCCACAGTGAAACCATTAGTTTGCCCAGGCAAAGCCAATAACTGTTCGAAAGATAAACCATACAGATGGACTCCATACCCATGACACAAGGGCGTGGAAATGCAACAAACTTTAGAAACAGATTTACTTTCTGAAATTACAGAATTAAGCAACAATTAATCAAAAAAAGACCAAATAGAAAACGTGGACAGGATAAATACGATGGAAGATCAAGTTATGCCTGATATTTGTGATAAACTGGAGGAAGATAAGGCTGAGGATGTGAGCCTAAGAGCCCTAGAATGCCTTCCGTAAAATCACCAGTTTTCAATGTACCTGAAGTGAAATCTTCCACCTCTAAGAGAGATCAAATAAATCCTTTAAAAGGTGTAAAACTGCAGTTCACTTCTTTTGGGGAGAGACAAAATGAGCACCGATTGAGTGCTCTAAATTTAGAAACAGCTTGGTCCTATTCTTACATCTCTAAGTTCCGCAGTGCTTCTTGAAATACAACAAAAATTATCCAAGAATCACAAATAAGTGACCAAAAGGAACCTGATGAAACCCCCGGGGATGTGCTCCGTAAAGCGAAGGAAATGCTGCAAAATAGTCAATCCATTCAGAACCCTTACTTTTCTTTCATGAAGGATGCATCTGTAGGTCCAGACACCTTAACACCTGAAGTATCAAACATTGTTAAAGATGAAAACCAACCCATAGAAGAGCCATTAGAATCAGGTGACGATCACCCAGCTGACAGTGCAGCAAAGGTGGATAATGTGTTACAATCAAAATGCACCTCCCCATTTCTTAGAAATTATAATTTATCCGGAGATAATCCTGGAAGCATAGAAACCTATCCAGAAAAAAATTCTACCAACACAGAGCATGATATTTTATCAATGCAATATACATGCAAAAGTTTTAGTACACAAACAAATATGAAGGCTCTTTATGATGGCAGTGAGACCGCTCATCAATGTCAAGATGATCATGCGTCTGAAAATGTTTCAGACTTTGAACTACAACAAGGTAAATCATCCATCCAGTCCAATTTTACCTGAATTAAGCAAGCTAGGACTTCATCCAACATGTGACCGAGAAGAAGCAGGAGTTGGGCAAGGGTTTGCCAAGGTTTGGTATAGAAATGGTGGCACAACATTAGAAGAATCCCACAAAAAATCTCTCTCGGAAACAGAATTTATTAAGCTAACGTCCCTAAGATCAGAATTGAAAATATTGTTAAATGACACAACTAGAAAAGCTATGCTGTGGTCCAAACAGAGATATTTCACGCATGGTGATAGATGTGGAAGACTCTTAGCCTCTGCACCTAAAGAGCAACAACAACGCACCTACATACCCAAAATGAGAAGGGCAGACGGCACTTCTGCATACACAGCTGAGGATATTGCAGAAGAGTTTTGTAAATTCTATAAATCTTTATATAACCTACACCACACCCCACCTAACACAGAGACTATGAGACAATACCTAGGGAAACATATCCAGAGAAAACTTTCAGATTTAGAGGCCCAATTGTTAGATACACCATTCGCAATAGAGGAACTGCAACAGGCTATACGCAACACCCCACATAACAAGGCTCCAGGCCCAGATAGGTTTTCGGCAACGTACTATCAAACTTTCATAGACAAACTCACACCCCACCTCCTGGAAACCCTGAATTCCTTGGCCCAAAACACACCACTACCCCAAACTAGCCTGGAAGCAATCATAACTGTATTACCTAAAGCTGGGGAAAATCCAGAGATTTGTGGAAGCTATAGACCCATATCCCTGATAAATGTCGACATTAAGATTTTAACTAAAATGATGGCGATGAGATTGAGACCATTTTTGCATGAATTGATCCACCCAGATCAGGCCGGGTTTGTGCCTAAAAGGGAAGCTAGGGACAATACTACTAAAGTCTTGGATCTGGTCCAATGGGTGGGGGGGAGAGGTGCCGTCCATCCTGTTGGCAATTAACGCGGAGAAAGCATTTGACAGGGTGGACTGGCCCTTTCTAATGATGACCCTCGACACCCTGGGTTTTGGACCTAACTGGCAGGCATTAATTAATGCCATTTACTCCAAGCCCACAGCCCGGATAAAAGTGAATGGTATACTTTCAGACCCACTGACCATAACAAACGGAACTAGACAGGGGTGCCACTTGTCATCCTTATTGCTCATATTGGCCCTGGAACCTCTACTCCAGGCGGTTAGGATTCACGAGAATATACAAGGCATTAGGATAGGTTCACAGTCGTACAAAGTATCAGCTGATAATCTAATTGTTACCATTACGAACCCTCTCCAATCACTAAAACCACTAATGCAGACCTTAACAGAATACAGCTCGTACTCCAACTTTAAAATCAAAACTACAAAATGTGAAGCTCTTAACATAAACGTGAACAGGTAAATGGAGGAGAAACTTAGCATGGAATATACATTCCATTGGAATACAACATCCATTAAATATCTGGTAATAAATATTACAAACAATATAAAAGACACATATCAAGCAAATTTTCCTCAGGTATTGAACACGATTCAAAATGATCTCCATAAATGGGACAAACCACACTTCAGATGGTTGGGAAGGGTAAACGTCATCTCCATGAATATTCTTCCTTGCATACTTTACCTAATGAACACAATCCCTATAAGGATTCCACAAAAAATTTTCAACACTATCAAAGCGCTCTTTACTAGATACATCTGGCGCTCTTTACTAGATACATCATATACTTACGCGAACCAAACAAAGAGGGGGAGTAGGACTACCAGACGTTCTCCACTATTACTACGCTATACACATGGCAAGAATAATAGATTGGTCATGTCAACCTCCAACCAAACGGTGGGTCACTATAGAACAAGCAATATCACATACCCCCCTGGAAGCCCTGTCGTGGACATACACAAGTTCCATGGATTACCCTACACCTACCCACCACACTATTGATGCCACAAGAAATGTGTGGAAGAAAATAGCTCATCTCCCTAACATATCTCCAGGCTTATCACCAAGATACCCTATCTCTCATAACTTGAGGTTTCCGATAGGAATCAAAGGTATCCCACTCCCAATAACCGTCCGGATGGAAATCTCACCATACATACCGTTAGATAGTGTATGGAATATCCAAGGACCATTAACACTGGCAGACATAACACAGACGACTACATACACCTTAACCCAAAAATTCCTGTTTTTCAAATGACACACTTTCTAAAATCTCTTCACGTCCCCGAAGGGTCTCTCAGAGAAATGACCAAATTTGAACAAATGTGCATGAGTACAACACTAGTGGCGAAGGCAATATCCAAATGTATGTAAATAATACAGATACACATACACCATGGCCTGCCGTGGTTTACACACAAATAGGAAAAACACCTAAACTGTATGTATAGGGAATGGGAACAGATTTTTAACAAGACCTTTTACTCCCAACCCAGTGTCTCCTTACACGAGATTAATTATAAAACCCTATCGATATGGTATAGAACACCGCATGACATACACAGGTTCCAACAAGACGAGTCCTCAAGGTGTTGGCGATGCAGTGAGGAAAACGGGGACATAGGCCACATGTGGTGGCATTGCAGCCACTTAAGATCATTTTGGGAAATGGTTAACTCAAAAATAAAGGAAATTATCTGGGAAGGCAATTCCCTGTGAAATAGATACTATGGTACTACTCAATATAGACATTCATATACAGAAATTTAAATACTCACTCCTGTTGTTTATGTTGGCGGCGGCTAAATCAGTAATAGCGACTAATTGGAAAAACACAAAACACATAGGACACAGGGAATGGGTCTCAAAGTTAGAACACTTTAGAGTAATGGAAGAACTAAGATGGTCATCCTTGGGGAAGACAGATAGGTTTACAAAAATCTGGCAACCATGGATAACATATGTGAATGACAAATAGAATAAATAAAAAATGCACAGAACAACAATGCAAATCGATATCAAGGAAGGCAGAGCTGGCCTAGTGGGTTAAGCGAGACTATCTTAAAGTCAAGAAACAGATTATAGCCATAATATGCGCTTAACCCACACCTCTACAATTATGAAGGTTAGGTATTCGGGCAAAATGTTTAGAGTAAGCTCTGACTCATGTAAGATTACCTGTTGGATGGATGAACAATGTTAATTTGTTTTATTTTGTTATTACCCTGCCCCCCCTCCTTTCTCTCCTCTTTCTCCCCCACTCTTTCCTCTTCCCCACCCTCTACCACCCCCTCCTCTCCCTCACATTTATTTAAAAGAATATTGTTGTGGAATGATATACGTGAAAAATGTGTTTCAAATGGTATACCATAGATGTATCATTACCCATTGTACATGATGGATATTCCTAACAGATACCTGTTCCTTGAAACCATTAAGGAAAATTCAAGGTCACAGATGTTCTAAGGAAACCACAGTCAGCACTTCTACTTCTCTAGAATAGGACCGTGAAGTCACGGTTCAAGACGCAGAGATGAACAAAGTGGATAATGACAGTGATTCTGAGGTGGAACTGGTGGAAATTCCTACTCAGCAGTTTGAGGTGGTAGATATAGACTCTTATTTTGAAGATGACAAACCAGACAGCCCATCTAAAATGGATATTTTGAACTCAAGCAAAGGCCGTTCAGAGGTATATGATGAAGTAACATCCACCAGTGAACTTGGCACAGGCTACATTGACAAAAGTATACAAGACATCGTTAATAACCAGGGAGCATCACTGCAGTCAAATAATTCTTCAGAAGTATCCATTGAACCTGGAGATAATGAGGAACCCACAGAGGGATGTTTTCAAGGGCACAGCACTTCTGTCAATGCCATTCAGATATTTTCTGGCTTGAAATACACCTGGTCTGCAGACAAAACTGTCCATGCCTACAATATTGTGATCCGGCAATGCGTGGGCGTCTTTGAAGGGCACACATCAAAAGTTAATTGTTACTCATATGCATGGGAAGTCTTCAATGCTTTTTACTGGCTCTAGTGCCCACAACGTACGATGTTATTCTGTCAAGACCCAGGAGTTTGTTGAGCAGCTGAATCTTGGTGAGAGTGTCCTGTGTCTACATGCACACTGGAAAATCCTCTACGCAGGGCTTGCCAACGAGACAGTGGTCACGTTTTCCCTTAAGAACAACAAGCAGCTTGATGTGTTTGAGTGTCATGGTCCTCAGGCAGTTAGCAGTTTGGCAAAAGCACAAGAGGGCAGTCGTAGACTGCTTCTTGTAGGATCCTATGATTGTACCATCAGTGTCCGGATGCTTGGAATGGTCTTCTGCGTCGTATGCTGGAAGGACATACTAAACCTGTTCTCTGTATGAAAGTTGTCAATGATCTTGTGTTCAGTAGATTCAGTGATCAGTCAGTCCATGCTCACAATATCCATACTGGAGAATTAATAAAAATGTATAAAAGGTCACAACCATGCAGTTACAGTGGTTAATATCTTGGGGAAAGTCACGGTGATAACCTGTTTGGATAAATTTGTTTGTGTTTATGAACTGCAGTCTCACGATCGTTTGCAAGTATATGGTGGACACTCAGATATGATCATGTGTATGGCAATTCACAAAAGCATGATTTATGCTGGCTATTACGATGGCACTGTTCAAGCTGCGTCTGAACTTAATGCAGAATTACCGCTGCTCGTGGCATGGATGCACACTTATTTTTGGTGTTTCCGAACATCTACTTACTGATCACACCAATCCAAATTTCCAGACACTGATATGCAGATGGAAAAACTGTGATGCTTTTTTCACAGCTCGAAGGAACTCCAAACAGGATGCCGTGGGACATATAGAACAACATGCAGACAAACACGTAACCATCAAGCCTCGCATATTGTGAAGTTTTATTTTTCCTCAAACATGAAGAGCTATTTTAGGCGTCTAGGCATCTGTTAATTTCCGCACACAACATTCTCGCAAACATGAAAAGAGTGAAACTGTCAGGTATAGCATGGCATGTAATTCATCGCCGGAACCCACTTCCGGGTTCACGGCGCTCAGCCCCGCCCTTTTTTCTGACGCGGTCCCTCCACGATACTTAGGAGGACCGCGCCAGATTCAAAGGGCTGGATTATTCGCACAGGTGCTGCATGAAGATCAGCTGCTCTACTTTGATCCTACCTGCTCCACTTCTATACCTCGGCTAGTAAAACGGATTTCTACCTTCTCCACTTCTCGACCTCGGCTAGTAAACGGATTTCTACCTTCTCCACTCCTAGACCTCGGCTTGTAACTCTGAATTCTACCTTCTCCACTCCCAGACCTCGGCTTGTTAAAACGGACTTCCCCACTCTCCACTCCTAGTTCTCAGCTTGTTGAAACGGACTTCTAATTTCTCCTTCATTGGGTGAATTAACCCTTCCAGTGCCAGAACTGCCTTTAAGTTAAGTAATACTTTTACCAAACAAGTCAATTCCTATTATTTATATTACACAGTATCTAAAACTCACTAAAGTGTCACTTTGTCTAATTATTCCTCTTATTCATAAGGGATTGCTACAAAGCCTAATTTTACCTTCATGGGTATTTAAAGGTACAGTGACCATTGTTTCATATCAATATAAAAGGAGGTGAAACTTATTGTTGTTGCAACCAGGAAATGCTGCAGTTGAGTTCCAAGTAAAGAAGTATTACAAAATAGATATTACAGAATAATCCAGCCTTAATTCAATGGAACCAGCAGATATCAACTCTCAAGTTTCTGCCCTAACCAATAGAGTGGATACGATTGCTCAAGGGTTACAGGAACTGCAAATTACAAATGAGAGAATATTAACCTATGTTAGAGACATTCAAGGTCATCTTCCTCATGCCGCTCTTCAATCGGCTGGTGATCCTGCTGTCTGTAATCCAGAAAAATTTTATGGAGATAGAACAAAGTACAGAGAGTTTTTGAATTCTTGCAAACTACTAATAGCTTTAAAACCTAGATCTTATCCCACCGAAAGATCCAAAGTCTGTTCAGTGATATCTTTTTTAAGAGGTGAACCTATGGCCTGGGCCCATTCCTTTTTGGAAAATGATGATCCCATATTAGATTCATTGGATGAGTTCTTTGAAGCTATGTCTTTATTATATGAAGATCCTTTTAAACAAACTACTGCTGATTTAACCATCAGAACATTACACCAAAAGAATAGACCTGTTGAAGATTATATTGCAGAATTCAAAAGATGGGCTACAGAAACCCAATTCCGTCTCGGATTATCTGAAGCTGTGAAAGATGAACTCTCTCGTACAGAACTTCCTCCTACCTTAAATGCATTGATTCAACTGTCCATCAGTATTGATAGACGTCTAAGAGAAAGAAAAGCTGAAAGGGTTCTTACTAATTCTACCTGGAGAAAACCTTTCACTACTCTAAAACTACCTGAAAAAATTCCTCCACAAACTGAACCTATGGAAGTAGGTATAATAAAAAGTCCTCTTACTTCTGAAGAAAGAATAAGAAGGAGACAACTAAACTTATGTATGTATTGTGCCTCGAACGAACATCTAATTTCCGAATGTCCTCTACTGAAACATTCAAAAGGTGGTAAGCTTCATTCATCTACCTCTATATTGAACGTTTTTCAAAAAAGAAAAACATCTACTTATTTTTCCATATCTCTCATATTACAGTGGGATACAAAAAGAATCGTGACTGAGGCCATCATTGATTCTGGTGCTAATGGAACTTTTCTTGATTTTTCTTTTGTTTCAAAAAATAAAATTCCTTGTGTTCAAAAAACCAACTTTATTCCAATCAGAGTTATTGACGGTTCATTTATATCCTCAGGACCCATCAAAAATGAAACAATCCCTCTAAGAATGATTACCAACAACGTACATTTCGAATTCATTACATTTGATATTATTAAATCTCCACTTTATCCCGTCATTCTAGGAATTAATTGGTTAAAAAACCATGATCCTTTAATTAAGTGGTCTCCCTTCTCCATCTCCTTTGCTTCTGATTTCTGTAAAAAAACGTGCTTACAACACATTCCTATTCTCCAAACTACTGTAGAACCAGTTATACCTCCATTCTACTCCGATTTTGCAGATGTCTTTTGTAAAAAAGAAGCAGAAACACTTCCTCCTCATCGGGTATATGATTGCCCAATAGATCTCATACCTGGAGCTCCTATTCCTTATGGTCATATTTATCCACTCTCTGAAAAGGAGTTAGAAATTTTAAAAGAATATCTTAATGAAAATTTACGCAAAGGGTTCATCAGACCCTCGACCTCTCCAGCTGCTTCTAGTATTTTCTTTGTGAAGAATAAAGACCAAACCATCCGTCCTATTATAGATTACAGAGCCTTAAATAAAATAACTATTAAAAATCGTTATCCTCTTCCACTAATAAATGAATTAATTGAAAGGTTAAGAACTGCAACTATATTCACTAAACTTGACCTTCGAGGCGCATATAACCTCATTAGAATAAAACAGGATGATGAATGGAAAACCGCCTTCCGGACAAGATATGGTCTCTACGAATATCTAGTGATGCCTTTCGGGCTCTGTAATGCCCCTGCAACGTTTCAACATTTTATAAATGATATCTTTAGAGATCTTCTGGATGTATGTGTTATTATCTACTTAGATGATATCTTAATATATTCTAACAATTTGGATGAACATAGGAAGCATGTTAGATGGGTTCTATCTAGACTGAGAACTCATAAATTATACGCTAAACCAGAGAAATGCCTTTTTGAGGTTACTGAATTCTCTTTTCTAGGATACATTATTTCACCTCATTCTTTGAAGATGGATAATTCCAAAATCAAATGTATTATTGACTGGCCTGCTCCTACTACTACAAAAGAATTACAACGTTTTCTTGGATTTGCAAACTTCTATAGAAAATTTATTAGAAACTATTCGGATGTATCACATCCTCTTAACCTCCTCAACAGTAGTAAAGGTCCTTTCAATTGGAACAAAAATGCACAAACGGCCTTCGACGAATTAAAAAAAAGATTTACAACTGCACCTATTCTACA